TTACGTAAGGCTTATAACAACTTTTCAGATAGTGGAAATTCGACTGATTTATTCCAGATCAGAGGCGTTTCTCATGTTGTAGATTTGATTCCTAGTACGGAATCAAAATTTAAATTATTTCTTTGTCTTTTCTCAAATTCACCAAATAAAATCATTCCTTACAAAACATTGTGTCGCCAGATAATGATTTTAATATGGATAATTCTCAATTCCTAAATATATGAAGAAAGAAAAGGTAAATGGTTGACAGGAAAATCTGTAGTGCATAAAACCCGCAATTCTTGGAAATTACAGAGGCTGCATTCCAGTTAGAATATTGATTTGTCTTTCGCAAATCTGTTTATTTCTCAATCATTTCTTCTTATGGAAGTGAATGTGGTTTGCAAAGCAGCATTCTCTACTAGTACTTTATGCGATTAAATCTAACTTTATGTCAGTCAAATCCTGACATATTCAGAGACCAAATCGCATTACGTAGTTTACGATAAGTGATAGCAAAAATCTGTTTGACTCTTATCAGTATGCCTAAACTATTTCAGCAAAACATATTTACGGACTAAATGTAAAAATTGTTTTCAGAAATATTTACCATTTCTATCTCAGAGCACAGATTGTATATCTTTTCAGAATTTTTCAATAATATTAGAAGTTAAAAGTGAACATATTACTGATGAACATATATTAAGTTCATTCGGTAGAACAGATTAATTATCAGCTTTGTAGCCTTAGTAGTTTAAAACCTCATACTTCAGACTTCATCTTTGTGAAAATTTACTGAAGTCGCAGTTAAATAACTGAGTGTAGTTGCAGTCATTGGCATATTTATGTGGCTGGCTTTCCTTAAATATGAAGAACATGCTTCGATTTCTAAAGTTAAGAGACTAGATATTTTACCCTAAATCCTTAACCAAATATTTAATTTCTGTTTCATTTTACATTATTTTTTCATCCTTACAACCGCAACAGAAATGGCTTCATTGCAGAATGGTTCTTGGTGGAAATGACAGTGTATGAGGCGTGAACAGTTCCTCAGAAAACATTTTTTGCCAATTAAAGGGCACAATATTTTCTTTAAATGCAATTTTTGAAGCATAAAAATGAAATTACGAGTTTGACCACGGATGATATCAGTGAGGGAACCATTGAAAACCAGCAGAAAGGACTGGACATCTGTTTCCTCCATCCAAGTTTGGGAATCATAGGCAGTACGCATCCACTAGGGTTCGAACACAGGACCTTCCGGTTACAAGACAAGCTCGTATATAATTCAGCCACTGGGACATGATTCAATGACAAGCCAATGAATTATAACTTCTACCAATTCCTGATTTAGCGGGAAATGAGACTTTGTGACCAGCGAGGTCCAATTAGATGTCGCGTGTGTGGATGGATGTCCCACCAACGACAATGGTTGGGGTCGCGCTAAATCACGAATCGGTAGAATTTATAACTCATGGGCCACTGAATCGGGTCCCAGAGACTAAATGGTCTGTGAGCTTGCCTTGTAACCGGAATGTTCTGGGTTTGAACCCCAGTGGTTTCGTTCTACCGATGATCCTCAAAACTAGGGTGAAACAGCTGTCCAGTACTCCCTGGTTTTCAGTGGTTCTCTAACTGATATCAATTCGTGATCAACTCGTAAAAACAAATCTCATCCTTACAAACCAACTATTAAAAATGAAATCACAAATGTTTTTCCAGTTTCTGTATATCAGCAAATATATCAACCAATACTCAGCCCCTTGGCGCTGTGGAAAAGAGTCTTTAGTAAGAAATTTTAAGAAGCCAAGAAAATATGTTTCCAAGTGCAGTGGTATCGGTATTTTAGGTTGCACATATTTATCTCCAGAAATCACACAACTGTGTTAAAATAAGTCAAAAAACACTTGTCACCTAATGGTTATAAGAAATTTCGGAACTTGTTGGAAAGGTGATGGTGACACATTCCTTAAAAGACATTCGTCTTCGGGTTCAATCTCCAGCTGACGCACACCTGATATCAATGATCGGCCTACTTAATTTGGGCTACCGATATCACATGCTGAAAATTCCATACTTGTACCAAAATAATATGTGGAATCAAGCTATAATAAAATAAATAAAATATTTCAATTTTCGAAACCTGATCTTATTATCTTGCTGTTGCATTATCTGCTGCTTATTTTTACACACATCTTTTAATTCTTTTTTAACTCACCTTGCGTCTCCTTACATTAGTATTCAACCAACTGATGGTTTTCATCAAACGTGGTTAATCTGAACATTACCCTACTTTTTAATTTACTCAAAATGAGTGTCGTCTTTCAGTAAAGAACAGTAAAACTGAGAATTATAAATCTTCAATTTCTTAATGCAGTTTTCAGAGATGTTCAATTTTGCATTCACTTCGGAAAGTTTGACAGAGTAACGCTGAAATCCGCTAACTTCATTCACTGTCAAAGGGTCCTTTCATTCTTTCAAATCGTGGAAAATACCTTTAGGAACATTAGAGGGAAAAGAACAAGAAGTCCAGCGAAGATATCTTTTTGGCGACTTCATTCTCAAAAGCTGTACAATTGCATTTATATACATAAGTTTACATGGATACAATTATTATTTATTTTATTTCACATAGAAACGAAGGTGATAGTAACTGTAATTTATATTTGTACCTTCAAACTTTCATATCAAGTGAAAATTATTACCACCTTCGTTACTATGTGGAATTAAATAAATAACAATTGTATCCATGCAAACTTATGTATATAAATGCGGGTGTACAGCTTTTAAGAATGAAATTTCAGAAAAGATATCTTTGTTAAACTTATTGTTCTTTTCCCTCGAATGTTCCTAGGGGTTTTCTACGACTTAAAAAATGCAAGGACCCTTCGACAGTGAATGAACTCAACGACTTTCAGCGTTACTCTGTCAAACTTTCCTAAGCGAATGCAAAATCTTTCATTTAACACATATTAGCATCGAAATAAGTTGGAAGGTAACTTTCAGACTGTAAAAGTTAATGCAGGTTACTACAGAAGTATTATTTTAGCACTATGGCGATCTACTCAAAACGCAGGCTACTTAAAGCACCCATTATTATATTGCATATACTTCCTCTTGTTCATTTTACTTTGAATCTATTAAAATATAACCTCTAATGGTGTTTTCTACTCTTTTGAGTATTCAAAGTATTTACGACATGATAATTCGTAAGGTTTCTTATAAACTTGAGGAAAAGCATAGTCGTATGTGGTGACTTATCCGAATACATGAGATAACTGTTCCTGAGATTTTCTGTACAAAATGCAACTGCCAGAGAAATAAAACTAACTACCTGCAGTCTTAAATTATATTTTTATGTGACTGGGTCTCAGAGTGTACTCTTGCACTATTTTTTAAACTGGCTATAAAACAAATGTCGTGAATTTCATGGAGGCGAAAAAGAAGAAACACCATAAGGGAATGTTTTGCGCATCATGTGTAACAGAAGTATGTTGTGCGTTGAACCATCAATTACTTCCTTCACTTATCAAGGCGGCATCGTTCTAAATACAGGTGGGCAGCACAGATTAGGATGTTAAAGCCGGAATCGCAAAGACAAAACGGACCTTCATTATTCTAAAATCAGTTTAGAAATCTTCTGTACTCAGCATAAACGAAAAAATTGGATTTTCAGCACCACTGTTAAGTCAGTCACTTCTGTAAGGGTCAGAGACGATGTTTCACGAAAGGCTTTTCCAACAGCATTCTTCAGACTGTTATCAACAGCTGACCTGTCTTCATAGTGAAGATCAGAAGGCTAACCAGAACGGATAAGTAAAAGAAGACAAGAGATTTGGTAAAGGAATGTTTATTTGGAATTTGGTATCGCTACATTGCAGAATTATGTACACCATATCATCAGATCACCACTTGTACAGATTTTCCATGTTGTGCTACTTCTGTTCTTCGTATTTTGTTTCTTTGTCTTCCTTTTCACGTCTTCCATTTATCTTCACAACGGTGGATCATTTGCTCTCTTCGACATCAAATCCATCTCCCTACTATTTGATATTTTTATGCCAACGAAAGTTCGTTTCCATAGTACTGATAAATCTTATCAGTAGCAAACGCCACAAGATTACAAAAACAATTACTCTAGAGAAACTTTGAATAAAATACACCGTTACGTGCATAGAAAGGTGAAACCTGAATATACCTGCATGAGTACAGTATAAACCGACAAACAGTAGAATGTTTTCATAAGATTTAACTAATTTTTCGTTGACCACATAGTTGAAAATAGGTGTGGTTCGGAAAAGGTCAAATAAAATCCATAAGAAGTTCTATTTTGGCTCATTTGATTGATAGTGGTCACCAAGTGGACAAAAAGTAGTGCCTTCAAAGTTATTTATTGCATACCATCGAGCCTTTCTAACGGAATTCGAATCTGTCTTTTATACATAGCCGAAGCTATGAGAATTCGCTATTTATTTGACTCTATTTGTTCGTTAACACTAGCGATTATCTTAAAATAGTCATTCAAGCATTACCGGTGGCCTGCCTGAACCACTAGGCTACCTGAATTTCTGTCGATTACAAAGGACCGTGTTTCCTCTAGTTCTTATTGTTTAAACCACTGAGTTATGTCCTTGAGTCCCCTAATATACTCATGCACACTTGTAATTAGCTTTCAAACTAACGGTGATCATTTCTCGGGCAGACGAAAGAGAAACCCCATAAGGGACTCCTCTACGCTTCACATAGAACAGCATTGGGTCACGCGGTATACTGTTGACTGACATTTTATTCAAGGATCCGGGATGAAGGAGAATATTACGCCATAAATTACTCTGAAAATTCTCACCGTTTTATCCACAAGAGACCTATTATACTAAAATGTACTCTATAAAAATTTTTTATTCAGTAAAGAAACTTATTCAACCATCGTGCTAAAACACTCACATGAACAAACTTTTTTACCGCCTGCTAATTCTTTTACTCTTACAGCTTTCCTTTTTAAAATTCTTGTCTTACTTTAGTGTGTTCAAGTGCAACGTGGTGATACAAATTCAAGTTCAGAATTCAATATAACGCTTACATCAAGTAATGAGAAAATTGTGGGCAAGGACAAATACGAAGAGGTTTTCATTGAAACAGTAAGTTACTTTTTTATTCAACTACTCAGTTATATACAATTATACTTACATGTACAAATCATCTAAATTCAGCATTGATCACAGAGTGTATGTGAATGTTTAGTGTCAAGAAAATATATGAGCAAATGTATCGTTTAAATGTACGTGTTACTTCACGCTCTATTGAACCTCAAACAAATGTTTCATTATTGTAACTATTTCAACTGTCAACAACAACAACACATGCCGCAAGTTAATCATCCTCATGACTAAGAGAATGGCCTAATATATCCCATGTAGCTAACAGCTACACGAACTAAGGGTAGTCGTATAAAATGAATACCAGTGGCTGAATGGTCAACGAACTCGCTCCATAATCCGGAGATCTTGGGTGCGATTTCCGGTAGCGCCATGTGCGTTTACCTTTGGAAAGTCACAAACCAGGACCAAACAGATCTTTAGTACTCCCTCGCTTTTTACGCCGGCGGTTCAGTGATAGAGTACTAGCTAACCAGGCCACACTTGATCGGAATTCGATTCCCGGCCGACTCAGTCATTAAACTCCCTTAAATGAAAGTAAGCCCAGTAAAGAGTGGCGCTTATATGTGCAGCTAGTAACCCCACCCCCCAAAAAACAAATACCTTTACTGCTGAAACTTTAAATCTGAAGCTTGAAGTCCTATACTGCAGCCGGAACTCAGAGGAATAAAACAATGACTAAAATCACATAAACTGAACTGATAAACGTTCACTTTGAATATTATTGGTAATCTGTTCCATGACTTAAAACACTGTGATAATTTGAATCAGAAATAATAGCCTCTGACTAAACCTAATCCACTGAAGTCACTAATTCCATTTCATTCATAAAGTTAGAATGCATATGAGAAGAAACTGTTTGCCCAAGTTAGTGAAGGAATTCACTAAATTCATGAAAAATAATGCCATTTCACAAATAAATAAAAAACAAATAGTCAAGGGAACTTGAAGGTGTGTATATTTTTAATTACACACTTTGTTATTATAAGGAAACTAGGAGAAAGAAGGGAGCACTTCTAACTAGATTGGATTACGCCATTATATTCCTTAAATACTGTTGACCAGCGGTCGTTGCTGCAATTATGTTATGCAATTGGTTGTGTTCTCCTAGCTGGTTGGTTTATTTGCGGAACTTTCGTCGTCCTTCTGGACAACATCCCCCTTCAGCGCAAGTTTTAGCACAAAATGAACTGATTTAAATTCTCCATGAATGATAGAATTGCGTATCCTGGTAACCAACTTCATGACTGGTGGTCGATTTACATCTGTATTGATAATTTTTTATTGACTTAGATTTTTAACTTTCTCGTCACATGATTTACTTTTTATTAATTGATAGATTTGGTCTACATTAATATGTTTGTTAATCGCTGGCTGATTCGACTGAGTACCAGACTTCTAGGAATTCTCTGGCACTTTCAGTGTTTCCTCTGTTCAAAATTTTGACATTATCCAAATTATCAAATTGATATCCATAATTATATACATGCATTGATATGAAAGGCCACATATGATGCCTTTTCACAGCTAATTGGTGTTCCGGGATTCTGATTTGAAAGGGACGCCCACTTTGGCCGATGTAATGCCTGTTACAGTTCATACAATTTATTTTGTATATGGTATTAATTATATCTTCCTTTTCTGTTGGATCTTTCGTTTTGCACAATATCGAATGAAGTGACTGGACAGGCTTGTGTGCATGTATATAATTACGGATATCAATTTGATAATTTGGATAATGTCAAAATTTTGAACAGAGGAAACACTGAAAGTGCCAGAGAATTCCTAGAAGTCTGGTACTCAGTCGAATCAGCCAGCGATTAACAAACATATTAATGTAGACCAAATCTATCAATTAATAAAAAGTAAATCATGTGACGAGAAAGTTAAAAATCTAAGTCAATAAAAAATTATCAATACAGATGTAAATCGACCACCAGTCACGAAGTTGGTTACCAGGATACGCAATTCTATCATTCATGGAGAATTTAAATCAGTTCATTTTGTGCTAAAACTTGCGCTGAAGGGGGATGTTGTCCAGAAGGACGACGAAAGTTCCGCAAATAAATCAGCCAGCTCAGGGAACACAACTAATTACAAATCATCCAACTGAGCAACAACTCTTCTCTAGTAATTATGTTAGATAGTTAAAAACAGACCACAGTTCATATTCCTTGACTATTATTTCATACGTGCAAAGATCACTTATCAGTGAACATTCATTTCAAAAAAAGCATATTTCATTGAGTTGATAAAATAGAAATTTAGAAATCTCTAAATCAAATTCACAGTTCACAAATTACTTCAGAATTTTGCAAATTAAATCGCAATTTGTGCAGTCCAACGTGATTATTTCATGACAGTTCTCCTTGGAGATCGAATTTATTAAGATGACAATATGCGGTCTGCTTGATATAATAAGTAGTAGTTAACAAACCAGGCGTAATCGACAGAAACTAAGATGAAATAATCACCTCTGTGTAAACTGGGAAATGATTTACGAAAATGCTGACTGATTCGTGAATTATTCAAAAGGCAAGTAAGAAATTGAGTGGTTTAAATTGATTCGGCCCTCTGAGGTGAGTTGAATCGGGTACACTGTTTGATGAATGTAAGCGCAATATCGCTTGAAATTAAGTCACGCGTAGATAAAGGCTATCCCGGTCCAGAACAAACAAGAAGCCGGTTACTGTTTCTACGGGACTATTAATAAACAAATCAATAATTATATATACAACAAACCTTAATGGTTTCAAGAGTACAAAGCACAACGCTTAACAGAAAGCAAGGTACCACTATCAGAGCGGAATAACGTTAAAGCCAAAATTGCGAACAAGCGGGAATCAGACACGACCGTTCAGGTAGAAGAATGAACCCAAGTAAGGCAGGGCATAGAACAGAGAGCGGTTAAGAGATAGACAGAGCATAGGCACAAAGATTGAATGTAATTGGCTACTTAACCAGGTTGGCTGATACAGATGAGGATCAATAAATAAGATAAACTCGACAGAATAGTACAAAGTAAGACATGGGTCGGCAAAAATAACAGTTCACAAAATACTCTGATTGGGTCATGAGTTCAACCGGTGACTAAACGGATCGATGTAAAAACACACACACACGGTTCATTAAACAAGAGGGTATATACACGTTAGGCATGGATAATTGGGTTGCAACAACGCTAGGCCGATCCGGGACAGGTTGACTTGATTCAAGGATGGGAATTGAATTGATCTTACAATGAGCTTAGCCCGAAATAAGCGAGACAGTCGTCCAATGTCTAGATCAATTCGTTCTGGTTAGTAAACACTACCGATCGATGTGATTGGTGTTCACCTACTCATCTCACTCAGTTAGAAGTATATGGTTTTCATGTTGCAAAAATAAAGGAAATCAGTGACAAATGCCATCATTTCCTGTAGAGGCCAGCAGTTTCCTCCTGAAAATGTGATCAAAATTTATTACAGGCGTTTCTTGATGTACACGTTTTGCGTCACTGTCAATTTAAAACTGTCGGGATAAAATAAGATATATCTTTTACAGTTTGTAGTTGTGATACTAACTCTTCGAAATTTTTATATTTTTATATCATAGTCAAGATTTATCTGTTTCTTGACTGTTTCCGCTTCATGCGTGTTTTCCTAATACACAGTATTTCACAAATAAAATAACATTCTTTAGTTAGATAATTCAATTAAAAAAGACATCATACATTTCGTTTTTTTTCGCACTAACACTATGTAACCGTTATGTTGCGTAATACGTCGAGACTGAAATAGGGACACCTAGTTAGACACAGACGTGCTGATCACGACAATCACTGGACTACGCTGAGAACATTTTATGACAGCTAACTATTTCCCAGTCCACACTACTTAAACCACCAAAACGAGCATACTTCAATCAGTCTGTGATCATGACCATCAAGATAGTAGGCGTATTTTATGTAGGCCAATTCTGATTGGTTTATTTCTAGACTGGACATCAACCACCATAACAGTAACGAGAAGAAAAAACTTAAGACAATAAAATTATTATTAACGACTTAGCTAATTAGTCATTATGAGAAGTCTGGAATTGGAATGTATGACAGGGTAGAGGACAGTTTAGACTCAACCGCTTGCAATAATCATGATCATAATCCAAATCGAAATAAAATTTTTTCAATGTCAGTTTTTACACTGAAGAAAAGGCGTCAAGAGATGATTGTCACTTTGTAAAACAGAAGCGTCAACAACAAGAAATTACCAGTGTGAACGAATTCAAAAATGAAACAGGAATTATTAGTGCAATGTGATATGTGAGAGACGCGTAAGTCCCCAGGAGACTTCGAAAATTTAATTATCTTCTGTGTGCTTAGTTTGATAGACAAATTAAATTATGTACATAGTAAAACATCAGGTGTTTTTCTGGGATGCACAGAAAAAATGACAGACAATGACGTTGAGAACTTTATTAAATTATCGAGTGTTGGTTTTCAGATATATGATTGCTTGCAGGTTTGTCTACTAGCTGATATCAATTAGAGAACCATTGAAAAATAAGGGAGTTCTGAAAAGATGTCTCGTCGTAGTTTGGGAACCTCCAGTGACACACAGACGACGAAGTTTCAACCATTAACCTTTCAGTTATAAGGCCAGCTCATGAAGCGTCCAGCCATTGGAACCCGTGTGCGTCAGTGGCATAGCGGTTAGGACGCTCGCCGACCATGCATATGGTCCGGGGTTCGATCCCCGGCCGACGCACTCCTTTACCTCGCTAAGCCAGAAATAAAAGTTGGTAAAGAAGAAAAGTTGGGCATGAGGCTAGCAACCTCATCCTGTCAAAATAAACGCTGCTACAGAAACTTCAAGCTTCTAGCTGGAAGCCCTATGTCCCACTGGGAACGTGAAGGAATAAAAAAACACATTGGCACCCGGTCCAATGGCCAATGCATTCTAAGTTCTGCCAATTCGCGATATATATATATGTATATACATAGT